CCCGCCCGCCGGCGCGGCTTGCCGAAATTGCAGCTTTGCTGTGGTGGGTAGCAGCTCCGGGGTGGGCACGGCTCCATGGGCTGGCATCCCAGTGGCTCGCTCTGGCAGGACCCCTCGATGTCACGGCTGAGGCTGCCGGGGGCATGGCAAGGGGGCAGGGTTATGGGGCCCACGGGGGTTTCATTGCAGGACACCCCCCCGTGGACCCGTGCCATGTCCAGCCCTTCTCGCCACAGACTGAGCTGTCATGGCACAAGTCCTGGTCGCTGTCGCCTTTATGGTAGTGCATCCTGTGGCAGAGATGGCCAAGTTCTTGGGGATAAGCTCTGGGAAAAAGAAAAAAACACCAATGACTTATTTTTTTTGCTCTTTCTATGAAAAAAAATGAGGAATCCAAGACAGCTGAGAGAATCCAACTCACTCTGTGACTGGTGATGGATGGGCTGAGCAGGGTGTCCGAGTCCTGAGGACAGCGCTGGGGCTGAAAGCTTTTATATGTGGCTGAGCTCTCTTGGAAATGAGGCATGCCATGGGAATTAATAGCTGAGCAGTGAGTGCCACTTCTGTATGTATATTTTTCCTGGCACTTGCTATTGGATTAATCAGCTGCAATTAGCATCTCCCTTGATGTAACGTCAGCTTAGCTCCTTGCATATGCAGCGGCCATCATCTAATTAGTTCTCCCAGCAGGTTGTGTTCAAATACGCTGTTACCTAATGTGAGTCAGATGGGCTCCTGGGATAAGGATACCTGGAATACCGTGATGCTGAGTGATGTGCCCAAAAGGAGTCTCTCGTGGCAGTGGGAAAACTGCAAGAAAGCCCAGGAGTCCTGGTGTCCCGTCCCGTGGCCAGGCGTCCGACGGCTCATGTCTTAAACCAGCGTGTTGGAGCGGAGGTACGCAAACGGCAAAGGTTCTTCACAGAACACAGAGAAAAAAAAATCTGTCGTTGAAAACAAGCAAGCTTCCTGCCAAAATAAAGAGCTTTTTTTCTTAAAGAAAAAGGAAAAATTGGAAAACCGGTGAAATTCAGTTTTCAGTAAGAAGTGATCGATTTTTCTACTCTATTCCAGCTGAGCACCCTGACCAACTGTAAACCAGGAATTGCTGTGTTCGTGGTGTGCTCCACAAAGCTGGTTTTTTTTTCCCAAACTGCTCTCTGGGTGTTTTCCCCACCCTAGAAATCCAGCCTGAGATGAGAGGATTTTACTCCTTCTTCATACCCTGCTCCACGCTTCGTGCGCTGGCAACATGGTCTGTGGCAGAAAGGGCCCTGTGATGGAAGAGGGGCCACACTCAGTTATCATTTCTACTTGAATATGATTAGAAGTGGGAAAGCGTCTTTTTGTTATGCTAATTCTGTGAAATTCTGTGATTTTATTTTGTAAAGCCAGGCTCCGAGTGCATTTCTGTTTATTATGTATAAAAAAAATTCTGACTTCTGGATGAACAAGTTCAGAAAAAAACATCATTCGACACTCATCTTTTAACGCTTCTGTTCTTTAAAAGCAGACAGCAGGTTTTCATTAACAACATGTTCCTGATACGATGATCTTTCTTCACGCAGTACCATAGCACCAAAGTTGCAGAAGGCATCTAAAAAAGCACGGAGAATACAATTAGTTCTTTAAAGCCTG